GTCTGCCATGTATTTTCTTGTCCCTTTAACAGTCACCCAATTAAACAACAATAAAACATTTTCCAGCTCTAAGCACTGAAATACATATATTTGATAAGCATTTTTTTTTAAAAAAAATCCAACATTCCAATACATCATTAGCTGTCTTGAGTCTTGGACTGGAAAAAAGTGGGATATGGTAATAGTAGTGCAGTAGTGATACAAAAGCCTGGAGATCTGTGGAGTTTACAGACTGATATATTCTAAATAACCATTTCATCAGGACAGAAACAGTTATTTAGAAATTCCACATAAAACAGATCCCTTGGCCAGCATTAATCCTGCTTGTGAAAGTACTTTATAGCATTTTATTGCAGAACTTTACTGAAAATTAAAGTACATTTTGTCACATCACCACTCAAACATCTCACTTAATATAACCCTGAAGAAACATACCAGAAAGTACTTAGAAACAGACATTCTTCCATCTCAAAACTGACTTATGTTTACTTTAAAAATAGCCTCAGTACAAACCATAAATCTTTCACACTATGCTATAATCGAAACACAAACTGAATCCATTACCAGAATTATACAAAAGCATCAATGATTCATATCCAAAATATTGTCTGCAAACACACATTCCTTAAACTTTGAAGACTCTCTCTCACCCACACACATATCTCAGGCTGCAAAACTAGGAAACATATAAATTGGACAAGCCTTTAACTTAAAAAAAAACGGAGATCCCCAAAAAGTTACAACCAAGATTTGAAGCAGCTTTCCTCTTCCCAAGTCCACAAGATGGGGAGATTTCTCTTTCGTTCCCCACACATTCTATTAATCTTCTATTACACACACACACACACACACACACAAGACTGACTGTGCATTCCTATAAAAAAGGAGGGTGAATTATCCACAGCAGACATTTGCTCTGTCTCGCAATGTCTCATACACTCCTAACTGGAACAGCAAACGGTTTTTTTCCTGCTGGCTGTCACACAAAACAGGGTGATGGGAAGTTCTTTTTTCTCTCCCTCCTCTCTTCCAACTTTTTTTTCTGAGCTTCATAGTTTTAAGGCAGGGAGAAGGGGAAAGGGAAGAAAGATTAGGAAAAGGCTTCATCTCCAGGCTGGAAATCTGGAGAACGGAAGGAGGAATGTTATGGATTTCCCTGCCAGCTCTGCTTTGCACATCTGCCTTACTTGCCAAGAAACTAGGGTGCATCTACACAATTAAATTAATTCAGTTTGACACTTCAACTGCCATGGCTCAATGCTGTGGAACCATGGGAAGGCCTTTAGCCTTGTCTGCCAAAAAGTGATGGTGTCTCACCAAAATACAAATCCTATGATGTCATACCCATTGAGCAGTGGTGTCAAACTGTCCTAATTCTACATAAGATACAACAACCCAAAGACACAAGTACTGGACCTCAGACCTTTTAACCCCAACCCCTTCCAGCACAACATAGGGTGCATCTACACTGTACAATTAATGCAGTTTTGACATCACTTCAACTGCCATGGCTTAATGCTTAATGCTATGCCAATGTCTTAAATCAAGGAATAGCTTCCTAAGATCTACAGAGATACTCGCAGAAACATCTAAGCAAGCAAGAGTCCAAAAGTGGCAGGCTAAAACCCAGAACCTCAATCAGTGGCTGATACCAGATGAGAAACTTCTTCCTGGGCACCCAGAAGACTGGGTGACTTGGAAAGCGCTGAACAGACTGCTCTGGCACAACGAGATGCAGAGCCAACCTTAAAAAATGGGACTACAAAGTGGAGTCCACTATATGAAAACGTGCAGAAGAGCAAACCGCAGACCACTTCCTACAATGCAGTCTGAGCACAATGGAGTGGTCAGCTTCTGGTCAAAGCAAATTTAGTATAATGCCAAGTTTTAACTTTGTTTTCAATTCACTTCTGACATGAATATATATATATATATATATATATATATATATATATATATATTGCAATGGAATGTTATGGAACCATGAGAGCTGTAGTCCTTCTCTGCCAAAGAATGCTGGTGCCTCATTTAAATTAAAATTCCCGTGATCCCAAAAGCTATGAGCAGTCAAGTGATATCAAATAGTATTAATCCCACAGTGTAGGCCAGACCTGGGCAAACTTCAGCCTTCCAGGTGTTTTGGACTTCAACTTCCACAATTACTAACAGCTGGAATTGTGGGAGTTGAAGTCCAAAACACCTGGAGGACTGGAGTTTCCCCAGGCCTGGTGTAGGTTCATCCTAGGCAAAAAGAGAAGCAGCCAAAGCTTCCCTCCCAAAGGCACAACTGCTGGACCACTGGGCTTCAACCACAGAGAGAAAACTTACACATACCTTATATCTCATAGCATTGAGTAATGAAAGTGGTGGCAAACTGTATTGATTTGACAGTCTCTGTCTACCACAACTGTTGGACCTCAAGACACAAAATACCCCCAATGTGATATCCAACTGTATCAATCCTACAGTGCAGATGCATCCTTAGGCAAGACCTAGCAGCCCAGGCTTCCAACGCAAAGGCACAGCTGCTGGGCTTTAACCACAGACAGAAAACCTACACACACCCTGATGCCATAGCATTTTCCCCTGTATCCAATAGCATTGAGGGATCAAAATAGTGCCAAACAACATTAACCCTACAGTGTAGATGCGCCTTTAGGCAAGCCTTAGCTTAGTATAGTATGGTTTTAAATTTTATAATTTATTGTCTACGTTTATTGTTTATTTTATTTTGATGTGTTTTATGTTAAATTTCATATGACTGTTTAATCTTTACTTTTGTTTATGTTTACTTTTATTGATTTGTTGTTTATTTTATGTTGTTTTTGTTTGCATTGTTGCTGCCTTGTAAGCCACCCTGGGTCCCTCTGGGATACAAATAAAGTTGTTGTTATTATTATTATTATTATTATTAGAAGAAGATACATAACAAGATTAATACACAGCAAACAAGATCACTACGCTGGCTTTTGTATTTGATCACACATCGGACACTTCCCAAGTGCCTAGGACTGTGATTTATCCACAAATAATGCACGCAGATCTGAGTAGGGTAGCCTTTTGCAGCTGACAGATGGTAATTTTGTCAGCAACAATTGTTTTTAAATGCAGGCCAAGGTCTTTAGGTACTGCACCCAATATGCCGATCACCACTAGGACCATCTTTAGTGGCTTGTGCCAGAGTCATAGTCTTCTTCTTATTATTATTATTATTGTTATTATGGGATGTTGTAAGTTTTTCAAGTTTTATGGTCATGTTCCAGATTATTATTATTATTATTATTATTATTAGAAGAAGAAGATACAGAACAAGATTAGTACACAGCAAACAAGATCACTATGCTGGCTTTTGTATTGGATCACACATCGGACACTTCCCAAGTGTCTAGGACTGTGACGTATCCGCGAATAATGCACGCAGATCTGAGTAGGGTGGCCTTTTGCAGCTGACAGATGGTAATTTTGTCAGCGCCGATTGTTTTTAAGTGCAGGCCAGGTCTTTAGGCACTGCACCTAATTTGCCGATCACCACTAAGACCATCTTTAGCGCGAATAATGCATGCAGATCTAAGTAGGGTGGCCTTTTGCAGCTGACAGAATGGTAATTTTGTCAGCACCAATTGTTTTTAAGTGCAGGCCAAGGTCTTTAGGCACTGCACCCAGTGTGCCGATCACCACTAGGACCATCTTTAGTGGCTTGTGCCAGAGTCATAGTCTTATTATTATTATTATTATTATTATTATTATGGGATGTTGTAAGTTTTTTGAGTTGTATGGTCATGTTCCAGATTATTAATAATAATAATAATAATAATAATATCGTTATTATTAGCGCAGGCTTCCAACCCAAAAGCACAAACACTGGACCTCTGGGTTTAGAAAATCAACAACCCTCCTGATGCTATAGCATTATCCCCTGTATCCAATAGCATTGAAGAATCAAAGTGGTGCCAAACTTTATTAATCCTACAGTGTAGATGCACCTTTTGGGAAGACTTAGCAGGTGGGGCTTCCAACCCAAAGCCAGCCACAACTGGCTGGACCACTCTCACAACCACCATGTCAGACTACACAGAGAAGCCATTGAAATCCACAAGCATGTGGACAATTTCAACAGAAAGGAGGAGATCATGAAAATGAACAAAATCTGGCTACCAGTATTAAAAAAACCTCTAAAATTACAACAGCAAAACAGCAGAGAGGAAACAACCAGGCACATCTTAACACTTATTACAAAAACTGTAGATTGCAAATCACAATTTGTATATTCTAAACTATTCTAAACAAGGTCTCCCGGGTTGTTTCCCTTGTTTCGCAATGTCTTCATCAGGTGTTATGATATTGTAATTCAATTCTAATAGGTAGCTATCAGTTCTGTTTTGATTTCCTATCAGCATTTATAGTCTTTGGATTCAATTCCTGTAAACAGTCTTGGCTCTGAGTAAGGAGTTCTGAAGAGTTTTTGTAATTGTTGTTATAGATAACTGTGCATGTTACATCTTAACACCTCTCAACAAAAGATTCCCCCAGGCTCAGCCAGGCCTTCAAATACTAATGAAGGTGGTCAGTTGAAACATTCACACCTAGCTCCAGCAGAGAAGAGCTCTTTGCCCCACCCCAGTCATTCCACAGATATAAAAACCCATTTTCCTAACTCCAGTAGACTTCACTACCTCTGAGGATGCTTGCCATAGATGCAGGCGAAACGTCAGGAGAAAATGCCTCTAGAACATGGCCATATAGCCCGAAAAAAACCCACAAGAACCCAGCCACAACTGCTACACTTCAAGACACAACATCCCTCCCTTATCCACGTAACATTGAGTAGTCAAAGTGGTATCAAACTGCATCACTTTTAGATGCACCTTTAGGCAAGACTTTGCAGCTGAGGCTTCCAACCTGAAGCCACAACTGCATGACCATACACATAAACAACAACAACAACACAGGTACCCACAACCAGGGGAAGGCATAAGGCTGCTAAGGGGGCTCCTCCTTACCGTTGCAGAACTGGAGGAGCGAGGAGGTGTCATAGAGGCTGCTGTAGCTGGAGAATCCGTCCTCCATCATCCTGGGGCCAGCTGCTTTTCCTCCTCCTCCTCCTCCTCCTGAGGTAGTAACGCAGCAGCCACACCAACCCACAGTGCAGTCACGCCAGGCCTCCCTCCCTGTGTCTCTGAGGCCTTTCTTCCCGGTCCTTTCTCCCTTCTCCTCCCTCCAGCTCCTCTCCCGGCTCGCTCACTCACTCCTCTCACCCACACAGGCAGACGCGCTCACACAAGACACACTCACACACAACTCCAAGCTGAGGAGGAGGAGGAGGAGGAGGCTGGGGCTGGCTTGCTTGCTTGCTGCCTGCCCGCCTGGGCTTGTTGCCATGACAACGCATATTCACTCCAATGTGGCTTGGGCTCGGCCTCCTCCTCCTCCTGCCTTGGCTCCTCCTCGAGAGGAGGGAAAGGGAGGGAGGAAATGTTAGGAAGGAGAGTCCCCTTTCCCCCCTTTGAGCTCTCTCTCTCTCTCTCTCTCTCTCTCTCTAGAAAGAGAGACATCCAAAGGAGAAAAAGAGAGAGATGTGTCTGTGAGGGACCTCAAAGGGGAAAAAGAGCCTCCTCCATTTATATGCATGCATGTATGTATGTGTGGGTGTATGGAGAGAGAGAGACCTCAAAGGGGAAAATGAGGTTCCCCCATTCATATATGTGTGTGTGTGTGTGTGTGTGTTTGTGTATATATATATACGTACATATACACACGTACATATATAGAGAGAGAGACCTCAAAGGGGAAAATAGACTCCCATGTATATTTGTGTGCATATGTGTGTGTGTGTGTGTGTGTATGTATATACATATTTATATATGTGTGTGTGTGTTTGTGTGTGTATAGAGAGAGAGAGAGAGAGAGACCTCAAAGGGGAAAAAGAGGCTCCCTCATTCAAATATGTATATCTCTGTGTGTGTGTATGCATGTGTGTGTGTATATATATATTTATATATATATGTGTGTGTGTGTATAGAAATATATATATAGAGAGAGAGAACCTCAAAGGGGAAAAAAGAGGCTCCTTCATACATATATGTGTCTGTATGTATGTATGTGTGTGTGTGTGTATTTATTTTTTATTTATTTATTTATTTACTTTGCTTATATACCGCTGTATCTCAAGCCCGAAGGCGACTCACAGCGGTTCACAAACAGTACAAACAGTAGAAACAGCAGTGGTTCCATACAACATATAACAATTGACTTAACACATTATCCATAAATTACCAATAAGCAATTACAATGCACAATTATTACAAAAAACAACCGTACCCAATCTTCTCATCATCCAAGCGTAGTCCAGGTTCGTCGTCCATTGTTCCATTCCTATGTTCCATTACCAGATTGCACTAAATTACTCAAACGCCTGCACAAACATCCAGGTCTTCACCTTTTTGCGGAATACCATTAGAGATGGTGCTAGTCTAATGTTCGTAGGAAGGGCGTTCCACAGCCGAGGAGCCACAACCGAGAAGGCCCTATCTCTCGTCCCCGCCAGCCGAGCTTGAGAAGCAGGCGGGATCGAGAGCAGGGTCTCCCCGGAAGATCTCAAAGTCCTGGTGGGTTCATAGGCAGAGATGCGGTCAGATAGGTAGCTTGGGCCGAACCGTTTAGGGCTTTAAAGGTCAACACCAGCACTTTGAATTGGCCCGGTAGCAAACTCGAGCCAGTGGAGCTGGCGCAACAGGGGGTTGTATGCTCCCTGCGCTCCGCTCTTGTTAACCTGGCTGCCGAGTGCTGGACTAGTTGGAAGCTTCCGAGCAGTCTTCAAAGGCAACCCCACGTAGAGAGAGTTGCAGTAGTCTAAACGGGATGTAACCAGAGCGTGGACTACCGTGGCCAAGTCAGACTTCCCAAGGTACGGGCGCAGCTGGCGCACAAGCTTTAGCTGTGCAAATGCTCCCCTGGTCACCGCCGAAACCTGGGGTTCCAGGCTCAGCGATGAGTCCAGGGTCACACTCAAGCTGCGAACCTGCGTCTTCAGGGGGAGTGCGGCCCCATCCAACACAGGCTGTAACCCTATGCCCTGTTCGGCCTTGCGACTGACCAGGAGGACCTCTGTCTTGTCTGGATTCAATTTCAATTTGTTCGCCCTCATCCAGACCGTCACAGCGGCCAAGCACCGGTTCAGGACCTGGATAGCCTCCTTAGTAGCAGGTGGAAAGGAGTGACAGAGTTGGACATCATCCGCGTACAGATGACACCATACCCCGAAACTCCGGATGTATGTATGTGTGTGCGTGAGTGTGTGTGTGTGTGTGTGTGTGTGTGTATGGAGAGAGAGAGACCTCAAAGGGGAAAAATAGACTCCATATATATTTGTGTGCCCTAAACGACTCCGGTCCAATTTACCTGTCCGAAAGTATCCTCCCCTATGAGTCCATCAAGATTGCTAAGATCGTCTGGAGGGGCCCTGCTCTCGATCCCACTGGCCTCACAGGCGGCTGGTGGGGACGAGAGACAGGGCCTTCTCGGTGGTGGCCCCTCGACTCTGGAACTCCCTTCCACTGGAGATCAGAACTGCCCCTTCTATCTTAACATTCAGGAAACAGGTGAAGACTTGGCTTTGGGGATTGGCATTCGATGAATGAGCCATTTTCCTGTGATATGGATGGATGACGACGAATAATGATTTTTGATGACGACTGACCACTGTAATCATATGACTGTATTTTGCTATTTTAATGTTTTAGTGTGATTTAGAATATGATGTTTTAATGACTGTTTGTAATATTGATGTTGGAAACCGGCCTGAGTCCCTCGAATGGAGGTGAGAAGACCAGTATACAAAACTGCTAAATAAATAAATAAATAAATGTGTGTGTATGCTTTGTGTGTGTGTGTGTGTAGAGAGAGAGACACCTCAAGGGGGGAAAAGTGGCTCCCTCATTCATATATGTGTGTGTGTGTATATATATATATATACATAGAGAGAGAGAGACCTCAAAAAGGAAAGAGACTCCCTCCTCCCTCATTCATATATTTGTATATATGTGTGTGTGTGTGTATATATATATATATATATAGTAGGCTTGGGTAACCATGGAAAAATTTGGTTCTAAACTCGTTTTGTTTTTAGGGGGTCCTTGTGTTTCGTTTTTTTTAATAATTCCGAAATTTTCCTTTTAAAAATTTCGAAATTTACGAAATTTCATAAAATTACGAATCGATTCGTTAATGGCGGACGAGATTGCGCAATATGCTAAAAAAACCTCCAAATGGGACAGGAGGAACTTCTGAAGCTTCCCTCTCCCTCTGTTGTTGACTGTTGGTGTGATAAAACAAACAACAACTATAAAACTTGCACCAGACATGCGAAAATAATTACAAAATAATTACGAAATAATTACGAAATAAATTGAAAAATGTTTTGAATCTTTATTACTCCTCACACAATTCCTGCATGGCTCAATATTGGATCGTAAGCTAATTTAAATACGAATTAATAACGAATTACGAAATTAACGAACGAAACCACCCAAGCCTAATATATATATATATATAGAGAGAGAGAGAGAAACCTCAAAGTGGAAAAAGAGCCTCTCTCTCTAATATATATATATATATATGTGTGTGTGTGTCTTTTACAATCCTGTTTGGAGGGGGAAGGATGAAGAGTTTATTTTCTTCCCCTCTTTCTGTTCCCTTTCTCTTTCCCCCTCATTGGACAACGGAAGGCAGCCTCTTTCTAAAATTTTGGATGCTCTATTGTTTCTCAGTAAGGGAAAAAACAACCACCTTTTCTTCTTCTTCTTCTTCTTCTTCTTCTTCTTCTTCTTCTTCTTCTTCTTCTTCTTCTTCTTCTTCTTCTTCTTCTGTTTTATTTTTGAGGTGTTTCTTTATAGGAGATAAGATACAGCCTCACCTACAGCCGGCCATTAATCACTGCTGAAACACTTGACATTTAAAAAGGGGGGAAAGGGAGACCCATCTGGAAAGGCGAGAGACAAAACAGTGCAATTTAAAATCCACGATACATGTGCCTTCCAGTTGCCTATAGAGCAGGTCTGGGAAAACTCCAGCCCTCCAGGTGTTGTGGACTTCAACTCCCACAATTCCTAATAGCCAGTAAGCTGTTAGGAATTGTGGGAGTTGAAGTCCACAACACCTGGAGGGTTGGAGTTTGCCCAGGACTGATCTACACTCTGGAATTAGTTCAGTTTGCCACCACTTTAGACAGCCATGGTTCAATGCTTTGGGCTCCTAGGAGTTGTAATTTTACAAGGTATTTCGTCTCCTCTGTCCAAAAGTGCTAGTGCCTTACGAAACTCCCAAGTCCCAGAATTGCATAGCACTGAGGCATGAAAATTTAAAGTGCTGTCAAACTGAATTAATTCTTCTACAATGTAGATGCACCCTATGTGGGATGGTTAGCAATCCGTTCTGATTTCTCTTTGATGGGAAATCTTTAGGAAAACCAGCCTCCTAAGCATGTACAGAGGTTTTTTCCATGCCTATTAAAATCAGAAAGATTTTAAAGGTAAAGCCTCCAAGAGACACACCTCACTGATTTCCCCCCTTCCCTAAATTCAAGCTGGTTTTACAGGATTGTAAAAGCCTAAACCACTTGCTGTTCTTATCAGCCACACTTTCCATTCCACTTTCCCTCCCATCCAAAATACAAGAAACTTAAAATATCCTTGAAGGGTTAAAAAGAAAGGGTGATAAATGCCCTGAAAAGAAGAGAGAGAGAGAAAGTGGAAGAGAAGGAGGAGGGGGATAAAACTAATCTGCTGTCTTTTGGTTTTGTATGGAAACAAAGACAGGCAGGCAGAAGGAAGAATAGTGGAGCAGTGCAAGAAATAAAAAAGATGTCAGAGGCAAGGGAAAACAATCATTTCTGACACATGCCTGGAACAGAAAGTGCTCAGAAAGCTTTGCAAATAGAACTAAGTGAAACTGTGAGCGAAAAGGGCTGGAGAGGACTTGCATCAATAGGAGTCCAGAAAAGTCATGCTACCCCTCTATTCTGCCTTGGTTAGACTGCACCTGGAATACTGTGTCCAATTCTGGGCACCACAATTGAAGGGAGATGTTGATAAGCTGTAATGTGTCCAGAGGAGGGCAACTAAAATGATCAAGGGTCTGGAGAACAAGCCCTATGAGGAGCGGCTTAAAGAGCTGGGCATATTTAGCCTGAAGAAGAGAAGGCTGAGAGGAGACATGATAGCCATGAATAAGTCTGTGAGAGGAAGTCATAGGGAGGAGGGAGCAAGCTTGTTTTCTACTGCCCTGGAGACTAGGAAGCGGAACAATGGCTTCAAACTACAAGAAAGGGGATTCCATCTGAACATTAGGAAGAACTTCCTGACTGTGAGAGCTGTTC